ACATTTTAATTGAGGAGGAAAACACATAATGAGAATAATTTCACCGTAATTTGGTCGTGTGCAGAATGCTGTGGGAACACAAAGGAGATACACTTAGCACAATCTTGGGACTTAAGGGAAGGTTCTGAGAGGAAGTGGGGCCACAGAGTTCCTATCAAAGGAAAAAGTAATGTCAAATTTTTATCAGTCCTAAACCATGTTCAAAAGCTAGATAGTTATATTATAAAAGTCATATGATCATAGGTTAAGAATAAGCTTTCAGATATCACCTGGGGTAAAACTCTTATCAATTTACAACTTCCCCCAGAACCATTTATTTCATCTTCTACCACTCATCAAAATACCTTTCAAAAAATCTACTTTAGGGTACTTTTTCTTATCATACAAGAATATTTCCATTTATAAAGCTGAAATTTTTCAGTTACATACTCCAAGGTCAAAACCTTCCTCAATGGAAAGGACAGTAATAAAGAGACCATAGCAATAGGTTTAGATTTCTACTTCGCCACAGCCCGAAATGAAACTCCTTCGCTTCCCTCCTGCTCCTTTCCACAGCTGTCAGGACAGGCTCCCAGGCAACAACTCCCACCACTCTTCTACATAAGAAAAAGTGCTCTCTGGACCTCCTCTCAACCAGGCTCAGCCCTGAACCACCCAGGAGAAAGCAAGTCACTATCTCTCTTCTATTAAATCCAAGACACCAAGGCCAGAATTCTCCACAGCCCACCCATAATCAACACAAATCCTCCTCTTTCTTTCTTTTTTTTTTTTGGAGACAGGGTCTCACTCTGCTACCTAAGTTGAGGAGCAGTAGCATCATTATAGCTCATTGCATCCTTGATCTCCCAGCCTCAAGTGATCCTCCCATTTCAGCCTCCCAGGTAGCTGGGACTAACAGGCGCATGCCAGCACACCTGGCTAGTTTTTGTTGTTGTTGTTTTTAGTAGAGATGGATTCTCACTATGTTGCCCAGGCTGGTCTCAAACTCCTGAGCTCAAGCAATCCTCTCACCTCTGCCTCCCAAAGGACTAGGGTTACAGGTGTGAGCCACCCCACTCAGCCAGAATAAATCCATTTAAAGTAAATCTAAATTCATTAAAGCTGTACACAGATATACTCAATACCCTACAATTCCATTCCTAAACACATAACCAACAGAAATATGTTTTCCAAAATATGTGCTACGATGTTCACAGCAGCAGTATTTGTGATAACCAAAAAAAAAAAAGCCAAATGCCTATTAAAGAGAATATATAAATTTTGATAAAGCCAATCAGAATTGGGCTGAATCAAAATTATGTAATCTGACAGAATGCAATGAAAAGAACATAGTATAACTTCTGTAACAGTACTGCTTAAAATGTCTAACTTGAATCTAAATTGGCAGAAACACCAGATAAACCCAAACTGAGAGATACAAAATAACTGCTGATAATCTTCAAAAGTAACAAAGTTCATGAAAATCTAAGAGAAACTAAGAATCTGTAGCAGACTGAAGGAGACTAAAGAGACGTGACAACTAAATAACAAATGTGAATTAAAATTGCGTGTGGGATGTGATTGAGACAACTGGTGAAACCTCAATGGGGTCTGAGGGTTAGACGGTAGTAACTTATCAACATTAATTTTCTTATTTTGATGTTGAATTGTGGTTATGCATGAAAATGTTCTGTATGAAGGAAATAAACACTAACAAGTATTGGGGGTGACAAGACATCAGGCTGGGAACTCATTCTCAAATGATTTAAAGAAAAAGTTGCTATTTTCTACTTAATTTTCTGTAAGTCTGTGATATTTCAAAGTTTTTTAAAGTATTAATTTTTTTAAAAAGTATGCTTGGAGCAGGAAGAATGAGTAGAAAGAAGTAAAGAAGAATAGAATTAAAAGTTCATAAATACTATATTTCTTATCAACGAGGTACAAAGCATAGGTGCAGCTGGCTGAAAATGAATTTACTACAAACTTAAGAACCCAAGTTTTGTCTTTTCTCTCAGTATAGATTCCTCACTTCTACCCAGAAAGTAGAAAAAAATTGTAAAATTTCGCAAAAATCTGCCACATACCCTTCTTTCTACACTGGAATATCGGGATGATAAATCACAAATATACATGGAATATCTTGACTTATCTAAAATAAAAATGTGTGGCAAATGTACAACTTTTTAAAGTTGCTTTCAAGGCAAATTTATAAAATAAACAGTCAAAACTTATTAAAAATGTATTTAAGCTTTGCAATACACAAAATCAGAAGTAGCTTTAAAACCCCAAAAGTGAAAGAATTTCAGATTCATTTTCATAGTTAGATTATTAGGCACTGGGCAGCTTGGCTTGAATAGAAATTACAAAGTGAAAAACTTTGTACATTTAATTCATATTAAGTGTCTTTTCTAGGTAGTAGAAAATTGTTGTCTGCATCCCCATCATCATTCTCCCCTCTCCCCATTCCTAACAATTATCCATTTTTGTTTGGGATATTGTGGTTTCAGGAACACACTGACTCTCAGCTCCCATGATCCCCCATCTAAACGGGCAGACATACGATCTTAGGCTAGGCTACCCCTTAAACCACAATAACTGCTTTAGTGATAGACATGTGATATGGATTAAACTCTGTTCCAAAAAAGATCGTATGTTGAGGTACCAACCCCCAGTACCTCAGAATGTGACCTTATTTAGAAATAGGATTGTTGCAGACGTACTTAGTTACAATGAGGTCACATTGGAGTTGAGAGGTGACTGATATCCTCAGAAAAATGATATTCCAATATGACTGATACCCTTAGAAAAAGCAGAAATTTGGGATATGCAGGGTGAATGCCGTGTGAAGACTGGAGTTATGTTGCCACAAGTCAAAGAACTACCAGAAACCAGAAGAGAAATGTGGAATAGATCTTTCCCCAGCACCTTCAGAGGAAGCATGGCCATGCCAATACCTTGATTTCAAACTTCTGCCCTGGGACAAAGCAACTCTTTTAGATAGTATGCTATACAGAAATAAAGCCTGATCCCATGGTAACTATTTTTGCAACCATCAGAAAGCCAGACTGAGGATAAGGCATACACATAAGCGTAAAGATATATTCAGAGAAAGGGATGAAACATTCAGCAAGCTATGTCTGAAGTCCATACTATGTCTAGACTTCTCAATTTTATGAGCTAGCAGATTATATTTACTGGTTAATGTAGCACAGGCTATTAACTGCAACTGGAAAAGAAAATACTAATGCAGACATTGATCTAGTTAACAGGATGCTTTCTGCTACTAGAGAAAGAGAATTCCACTCAAATATGAGTTCCTAAGTTAGTGCCTTTAAAAATGAAAACTTCATTATCCCATGTAATAAAAAGTTTGGTGGTTCCAGAATAGGTTAATTTAGCCACTCAATGACCGCAACAAGGACTCAGATTCTTTCCATCTTTCTACATGTCTATGCAGCAAATCGGGTTGTCCCGAAGGTACCTGCCTCATCTCTGGATGGCTGCAGCTGTTCCAGGCATCACATTCAGTTACAACAATATCCAGAGGGGGTAAAAAAGACTGCTTCATCCCACATGCCTTTCTTTCTTTTCTTTTTTTTTTTTTTTTAAGCAAGAAAAACTTTTTTCAGAAGTCCCCAAAGAACTCATACTTTTTAGCCACAATTACAATGTCACAGGCATAAATCAAAGATTTGGTAAGAAGGAAATGACTATGATCAGCTTAAAAGTAGTACTAACATGCCAGAAGTTTTCTGAAATGTATGGTGATATTTTTGGTTGTCATGGAGACTGGGGGCCACCACCAGCATTTAATAGATGACAGCTAAGACTGTCCAATATCCTGGAAAATATTTGTCTATTTCACACAAAGAAATGTGGTCTAAAATGTCAACAGAGAGAAAATGGGTGAATAAAACTAAGAATAATAAAAGAGCAATGGCCAAACAGTAGACAAACATCAGTGTCTTCCACAGAGTTTCACAGTGGTGAAAGACACTATTCTTAGTTATAACTAGAATATAATCTAGGGTAGTGACAGACAAGAAAAAATTTAAAAGCATCAACTTTAATGAGGATAAAGAAAAAACAGGATTAGGAATGGAGAAAGAATATTAGCAGTTACTAAGTATCTGTTATGCTAGGTGTTCTCATAAATTCCTTCATTTAATAAACACAGAGTTAATATTTTAGTCTTCCCAAATGCTGACATAGCTAAAGTATACATATTTAGGTAACCCCAGAGAATCAATAAAAATTTATTTATATCAGAAAATATTAAATTTTTAACTCAGAAGGAAAGCTTGGCATATGCTTACACTATGATCAGTGTAGTTTAAAGCAGCCATGTCACACAACTTTGAGGTCTTCTTCTGCATCAGGTACAAAAAAAGTATTAAAAACTAGACTCAGATTAAGAGACAACAACTGTAAAATATCTGTTTTACATATAAAAATGTATATAGTTTTAAGATATGACCACTTAAGAGTCACACTTCCAACAAACTACTTAAAAATCACTGATCATGTCATTTGTTCAACACAGCTACCTCCAAATTCACCCAGTACGGAGCTATTCATTGCAGCACTAGCATATCACTGTGTTAGTATTTAAGATTTTCTTCTATACTGTCTTCTACTGATACCAAATACTAATTCAGAACAGAAATCTAGGAGTTATATCTAGCACAGGCCACATTAATTGTTAAGAGCCATATATGAAGTCTATTTCTAAGGAAAAAAGACATGACCATGAAGAAACTCACAGAGGTTACTGACAAAATTAATCACTCAGCATTGGTATTAGTAGGATCAAGAAAAAAAACTTAAAAACCAACTATGAGTAGTAACAAATAAAAACCTAGGAGTTTTGGGATTAATAGTACAATATCATAAGTAACCTGAATATCATTTTATGAAAACTGAATTAACTTATTTCCTGGAGAAACACAGAATAAAACTACCAAGGGTATATAACTGAAAGTGTGAACATGTCAAATATGGAAATAAAGTAAAATACTTACTGCCAAAGCCTTGGACAGTTTGGCTCTAAATTCATTCAGGATGATTGCCACAATGTCCTTAAGTGGTACGTAAGCAAAGCCATCTTCCAAATAGACTTTCCTTCCTCGAAACAAATCCAGAGCATCAGCAAAAGGGATCTGAATTAAGAGTGAAACAAGGAAAATAAGTCAGCACCTGTCATTAAGAAATCCTGCTAAGTCTTCATATGTATAAAGTATAAACAAAGAAATTCATTAGTCCTAGCAGAGTCAAAAGAATAACAAAATGATTAATTTAGCCTCCTTAAAACTCAACAGCACTAGCAAAGAGTGGCAGTACAAAAATATGTTCGTTTCAGAGTTATGTTTTGAAAAATAGTAACACTAAAAGGCCAAGTTGGAATACTTTCTTTTATTCCTTAACCTCTGAATTTACAAAACATAATCCCCAGGATTTCAAACTCTTAACTCAAGACTTCTACACATGTTGCATTCACCTCACATACCCCACACTGTATTCTGCATCAGAGAGAATCCTAATTTGTAAACAACATATTCAGTGCTGAAAATTACTTGTAAGTAAAGTAATTCCAGTTTCTTCATCTATGTTTCCATTCTCACTCCAGAGAAATATATTGAGAAAGCTAATCTCAATACTAAGAAATGGAAATAATAATAAGCATTCGGTTTTGCTATTAAAATAAGCATTTGCCCCAAGTATTTATTTTTTAAAATCTTAGATTTTTAAACCCCATGAACAATCCTAAAATTCTGAAATGAGCAAAGTATGATATTAGTAAACTGTAAAAATCATTCTTACTCTCCAATAGTTTTTCTTTTTTAAAAAAACGAGGTTAAAAAAGTAGGTGAAAAATGACTCCCAAATTGCCTATTCATTCAAGTTTTAAGGAAGAATTAAATATAAATGCATACAATTTTCTGTATATCCAACGACATCGCACACTATAAACAGATCATGTGTTTTTTAACAACTTTCAATTAATTTACCGATTTCTACAACTACAACACAGTCCCTGCCCTCATGGGCACACATGGAAAGTCAAACAGCCCTACAGGATAGAACTGTGTGATACTGCACCAAATAGGTAGCTTACATAGGACATATTAGAGGAGCAGGTAAGAGGGTTTACTGCAATAATATAGAGAAGAAACATGAGTTCTAGTCCAAGCTCTGATACTGACTAGACTTACTTTGGGAATTTAATGAATGCCTCTAAATCTCAGCAGCCAGATCTGTAAAACTGAGAGAGGGGAGGAAGAGATAGGCTAACTGACCCTTAGGGATTCTTTAGCCATAATATTCCATGATTCTAGCTTATTAAGGTGGTCACAGAGGAAATAAAAATGCCCAAGTAGAAGCAAAAGATGACGTGAAGGCAGAGTAACTGGAAATGTGTAGTGTAAGAGAAATAAATATTGATCCCCACACTCTAAGCTTAAAAGGCTGACTGAATGATGGCCCAACAGTCGAAACAAAGAAGCTGGAATGGGGCAGGATTTTAAACTACTGGCACTCACTCATAATAATTAGCACATTCTTTTCAAAGGCAATTGTGGGGTTGCAGTTATCAAATTGTAAAATGAATTTAAACTCATCCCTCTTCCCCTTCTGGAAGGGTACATGTGAAGTAGTTATCTACACTGAGTGGGGAGGGGAAACTGAGGTGGCCCAGCACTGGATGATGGAATCTGAGTAGGTTAAGGAGGGCATTCCCATAGGAAAAAAGTAGGCTTACAATGCCAGAGCCCAGTGGAATGCCAGAGAGACCATGAGGCAAGACACCACGATGTCAGAGGCCAAGAGAAGCGAAAGGGGCTTCTACGCAAGGCAGCAATCCAAACAGAGTGTTGGGCCAAATGGGTGATGAGGGTTTCCTGGGAGGGGACAGCCCAGTGCAGGGTGTAAGGACCCAAACAATGTGAGAAGGGTTTCCTTTAGGAAAACAGCCTGTAGGGGGAGGTCAGAGCCCAAGCAGGGTTGGGAATGCATCTGTGGAAGGAGACAGCCCAGCAGAGAACACTGGCACACCATTAGTGCAATGAGGACAGTATCTGTGCAAGAGACGCAATAGCTGTGGTGATGAGAGGCTATAAAAATGGGTTAATTAAATATGTATATAAAGCTTAATGTGACATATTTAACAAAACCTAGGAAGTATTTTACATGTTTACATACCTTATAAATGGACTCCAACACCACCTTAGATCCACTCGAATTTGGTGATGAGGCAATAATCTCCTGTTCTCGAAGAGTCTTCTCTTCATCACTTATCTAAAAAAACATTTTAAGCTGTTATAAAAATTTGAAGTCCTCATTCAGTTTCAATAAAATGATTTCCTGTATTAATGAATACTGTTTACTTTTATTAAAAATTTTAAAACCTTGATATCTCAAATCATTTCTAACATGATATCTGAATCATTATCATTAGTGAAGGCAAAATACAGAAAAAAAAATCTAAATTGAATATTCTTTCAAATTTTAACCTTGCCAGTTTCTGAAGGTATACATCAAAAGAACAGTAGCAGACAAAGAGAAAATATTTTAATGAGAAAAAGGAAAAAATTTATAATAAAACTCAGGTTAATATAGACTAAAAGTGAGCATTATCCTAATTTGAGTTATGTTAATTTATTAATCTATCCTAATTGAGGTTAGAGTGGTTTGACTATTTCTTAATTTTCTAGCCACATAAGACAATTCCAAACTTAAAACACTAGTTTTCCTAGGAAAAACTACAAATTTATTATCTCAGACTGATTATGGCTCTATAAAAAATTGATAGATCTGATAAGTAAAAGCGTTAAACTTCAAGACCTATATATATATATATTTTTGTAAATGAAGATGAAATATCAGTGACAAACTGAAGGAAATATTTACATCATCTGATATGTGAGTTAGCCTCGGTAAGCCCCTAGTTGGCAGTATGTAAGCTTTTGTAACCCAAAAGTAAACATGAACAGCCAATAGTTATGTAAGTAAAAATAATAAATGCTAAATTAAAATAATAATGTGTAATATGTTCCATCTATGAAAATAGTAAAAATTAACAAGATTTAGAATATACAGTGTTAGGACAATCTTTGTGTACCATACTATGATAATATATAGCAAATAGCCTTTAAAAATGCAGATTGTAACTATTTTATTTCCAAATTAATCACAAGTAAATAACAGGACAAGCACACAAATAAAAACTTTTCTTCATTACAGTGTTATTTATAATAATAAAGAAAAAAAACTAAATGTCCAACATGTATCTAGTTAAATAAACTGCAGTAGAACTTGCTGTTTCAGTAAAACAGGCTATATTACTCGGGTCAACCTCCTAGAGAAAACAAAACAAAACACTGATAAAATTTTAAAAACATCTTTACAGAACAGAAAGTTAATATACAAAGTCAGGCACACAAAGTGGGATATCTGACGAGAGACTTTCCTGCTCAAATAATGTAGGATTATCAGGGAATCCCAAGCCTTGAACTTGTTTTAAGGCAGTACCTGATTCAAAAGGCCAGGCACCTCGCAAAAGCAAACTCAAATCCTCTCTGGAGGAACCGTCACAGTACACCTCAAAGTATTCCTACGAATAAATTTCCAAATACTAAAACTATACTTCACAAACAAAAACAACAGAAGAATTCACAAAGTTTACAGATAATAACTATTACCATGTGTAAAGAAATAAAAGACAAGCACAATCTGTATGAAGTGGAAGCCATAAAAAGTGATTTGTTTTTTTAAAAGCAAAAGGCTGGGCATGGTGGCTCACATCTATAATCCCAGCACTTTTGGAGGCCAAGGCGGGAGGATCACTTGAGTCCAGGAGTTTGAGACCAGCCTGGGCAACATGGTGAGACTCCGTCTCTACAAAAAAAAAAAAAATTAAAAAATTAGCCAGGTATGGTGGTACGCACTTGTAATCTCAGCTACTTGGGAGGCTAAGGTGGGAGGACTGCTTGAGCCCAGGAGTTAGAGGCTGCAGTAAGCCATGATCACATTACTGCACTGCAGTCTGGGTGACACAGCAAACCCTTATCTCAAAAAAAAAAAAAAAAGAAGAAGAAGAAGAAGAAAAGGTAAAAGCTTTCTGATGTGCTGTTTTATATCACTGAATGGAACCTGGGTTTTCATTAAAAAGGTTCCAAACACACATTTTGTAGAATCTAAGAAATGACATTCCTGAGCCCATTGAGCCCTTACAGGAACATACAAATATCCTGCCCTAAGACCTAAAATCAAGCAATGTACAAAAAACCTTTGTGATGTGCTGTTTTATATCACTAAATGAAATCTGTGTTTTATTAAACAGGTTCCAAACACACGTCTAGTTGAATATAAGAAATGACATTTCAGAGATGAATATGCCTATATAAGAAAAAAAGGAAAAAGAAAAAAAAATTCTAGAAATAGACAAAAAAAATTTAGGCACAGAAATGTAAAACTCAATGGAGTCAGGAAGAAACCCCTGAAATTCCTGTAACTGTGAACAATTACTTGAGGATGAACCAGAACCTTATCAGCCTTCATATGGATCTGCAACCCATTTTCAACTTATCTAGTGGGTCTGAGATCTCAGATTCCAGATTTAAATTAAAATTGTCCTGGATCAACAATGACCCCAGGCCAATGACAAAAAAAAAAGACAAATGAAAACCCTTCTAGAAAGATATAATCCTCCTAAGCTTCAATATAGTCCACAAATAACTTTCCAAACACAATCTCCAGCATACAACAGTAACAAAGCACACCAGGAAATGAGACTCCATGAATGAAAACAACATAGGTAAGGAAAAAAAGGATCAAGATTGAAAAAGAAGAACTAAAACTCTCTATTTGCAGATTATATGATTTAGTATACTTAGAAAATCCAGAAGGATCCACGATAAATTATTAAAACTATTGGCCTAATTGAGTCAGGCTTCTGAATTCAAATATAGAAAAACCGGCCAGGTGCGGTGGCTTACACCTGTAATCCCAGCACTTCAGGAGCCTGAGGTGGATGGATCACAAGGTCAGGAGTTCAAGACCAGCCTGACCAACATGGTGAAACCCCATCTCCACTAAAGATTAAAAGAAAAAAAAAAAAAAAATTAGCTGGGCATGGTGGTGCACACCTGTAATCCCAGCTACTCAGGAGGGTGGGGAAGGAGAATTGCTTGAACCTGGAAGGTGGAGGTTGTGGTGAGCCACGATCGTGCCACTGCAGTCCAGCCGGGGCAACAGAGTGAGACTTGGTCTCAAAAAATAAAAAAATATAGAAAAACCAATTGTATTTCTATATGCCAGCAACAAAATTCAGTAATCGAATTTTTTAAGCTACCATTTACAACAGAATTAAAACTATCAAGGATCTAGGAATAAATCTAACAAAATATGTACAAGGCCTTCAACAACAAAAAAATAAAATCTTACTGAGAGAAACTGGAGAAAAATTAATTAACAGAGATACCCTAAACATCAACCAGAAAATTTAATATTGTAAATGTTTTAAATCTCTTCAAATTAACCTATAGATTCAATACAATCCCAAACAAAATCATAATAGCTTTTGTGTATGCCTGTGTGTGTGGACATTTATAAGCTAGTTCTAAAATGTATAAGAACATGCAAAGGGCCAAGAACAGCCAAGACAGAAACAACGAAAAAGAGTCAATTCAATAGAAAAATGAGCAAAAAACATTAACGGGCACTTTACAAACGAGAAAACTCAAAGAGCCAAAAAATGTATTAAAAGATGCTCAACCTCCTTAGTCATCAGGGTTTGAAACCATAATGGAAACCTCAATGACATACCACTACATGACAATTAGAATGGTTAAAATATAAAAATGGCCAGGCACGGGAGTTGGCATCTGTAATCCCAGCTACTTGGGAGGCTGAGGCGGTTGGATCGCTTGAGGCCAGGAGTTTGAGACTAGCCTGGGTGACTAAGTGAAACTCCCATCTCTAACAAGGTCTTGTTTGTTCACCCAGGCTGGAATGCAATGGTATGATCATGGCTCACCGAGTAATTGAACTTTCTGAGTAATTGGGACTACAGGCACGAACCACCATGCCCAGCTAATTATTCTTAAATTTTTTTAATATTACTGTATTTTTTCTTATAGAGATGGTAGCTCCCTATGTTGCTCAGGCTGGTCTCGAACTCCTGGGCTCAAGGGATCCTCCCCCATTTCCCTCTCAAAGTGTTAGAATTACAGGTGTGAGCCACCATGCCTGGCCATTTTTTAAATTTTTTATAGAGACAGGGTCTTACTATGTTACCCAGGCTGGTCTCAAATCCCTAGAATCAAGTGATTCTCCCAGCTTGGCCTCCCAATGGGCTAAGATTACAGGTATAAACCATTATATCCAACCTAAAAAGAAGTTTTTTTAATTAGCTGGGTGTGATGGTGTGTACCTAGTAGTCCCAACTGAGACAGGACTACAGACACACATCATCACACCCAGCTAATTTTAAAAAAAGACTGAGGTGGGAAGATCTCTTGAACCCAGGAGTTTAAGGCTACAGTGAATTATGATCACACCACTACTCTCTAGCCTGGGAAACAAAAGAAGGGTCAGCATCATCCTGATACCAAAACCCGATGGAGATACAACAAAAAAAAGAAAATATCAGGCCAATAGCCTTGGTGAACACTGATGCAAAAATCCTCAACAAAATACTTGTAAACCCAACCCAGCAGCACATCAAAAAGCTTATCCACCACGATCAAGTTGGCTTCATCTCCAGGATGCAAGGTTGGTTCAACATACACAAATCAATAAATGTGATTCATCACATAAACAGAACTAAAGATAAAAACCACATGATTATCTCAATAGATGCAGAAAAAGCCTTCAATAAAATTCAATATCCCTTCATGTTAAAAACTCTCAATAAACTGGGTATTGAAGGAACACACCTCAAAATAATAAGAGCCATACATGACAAACCCACAGCCAGTATCATACTGAATGGGCAAAAGCTTGGAAGCTTTCCCCCTGAAAACCACCACAAGACAAGGCTGCCCTTTCTCACCACCCCTATTCAACATAGTCTTGAAAGTTCCTGCTAAGGCAATCAGGCAAGAGAAAGAAATAAAGCATATTCAAATAGGAGGAGAGAAAGTCAAACTATCTTTGTTTGCAGATGACATCATCCTTTATCTAGAAAACCCCACTGTCTCAGCCCAAAAGCTTCTTAAGCTGATAAGCAACTTCAGCAAAGTCTCAGGATGCTAAACTAACATGCAAAAATCACTAGCATTCCAGCTGGGTGAGGT